GTCGTAGTCGTAGTCGTAGTCGTAGTCGTAGTCGTAGTCGTAGTTTAGTAGTCGTTTAGTGGTAGTAGTAGTAGTAGTAGTAGTAGGAGTAGGAGTAGGAGTAGGAGTAGGAGTAGGAGTAGCAGTAGTAGTAGCAGCAGCAGGAGGAGGAGGAGTAGTTGCAGTGGTAGTAGTAATGGTAGTAGTAGTAGTAGTAGTAGTAGTAGTAGTTGTAGTAGGAGTAGGAGTAGGAGTAGTAGTAGTAGTAGTAGTAGTAGTAGTAGTAGCAGGAGCAGCAGGTTCAGCAGGAGCGTGCAGGAGCGTGCAGGTTCAGCAGGAGCGTGCAGGAGCAGCAGGAGGATCGCAATTGTTCTCGTCAAGTCGTCAGGGCTTTTGTTCATCAGTTCAGGTTTGCCCACTTTCCTTGCTCCATTCGCTGTTTGTTCTATTTTCTTTTAAGACCTCGGCTGCTTGCATCGGGCGCCTAGAATGCTTGGGTTTTACGTCTGCACGCAAGCACACTACAAGGCTTTTTACAAGGTTAAGGATGCATGGCATGGCCGTTGGCGTTGATGGTCTGCGTGAGGTCCGAAGAATGTGCATGCTGCCAAGTTGGCCGGCTGGCAAACAGCTCCTCTGCCGAAATCTCGGCCTGAACCAAGCTGTGGTCACTGAGTGTTTCGAAAGGAAGTATGGCCCTAAACCTGAGTCAGGTTTAGGGAGTTTAGGGCCACAATTCATGTCGAAGCCCCAAACCCTAAAGCCTAAGCTCTGATAGACTTTAAGGCTTTTCGAAGAGGAGTCTGCAATCTCTCGGTTGTGGACAGGAGCTTCAGGGCTTTTTCGGTGCTTTCGCGCAAGAAGCGGTTTTCTGGCAGAGATGCTCAGGGTGGGGTGTCAGTGTAGCTATGCAGTTGGGGGGTGCCCTGCATACTGGCTGCGGAGGTATTTCAGTCCTTTTCGGCGTGCTTTCAGCTGATGTAAATCCAGGGCAAGTTGACGAATGCTGTGCACATCACTGATTGGAGTTGGGGAAACCGCAAGCGAGCGTTTCAGGTGCTGGTCGGCTTTCACAGCCGCGAGACGGGCGAGAAGGTTGTGTGCAAGGCCCGTGCCACACAGAAGACCGGAAGTAGTTGGGGGCATTGGAAGTGACAGACTTATGAATGTGCAAAGTAAGTAGCACAAGCACTAGTACGCACATGATAGAAATACGGCCGTCCGCCGTAGCACTCGTGGTTTGCGCGTGAGAAGACATGTCGACGCTGTTTTCTTTGGTGCGTTTTGCAGGAGGCAGACTTCCACATCGGCGTCTCGGCTTCGCTGGAACCCTCAACCCCTCGCCTTAAACTTCGACAGGACCCGTATTAACTCCCATCTTATCCTCATGTAGAAGCCTTGTATTTGAGGTGGAGGGTTCAGGGTTCAGGGTAGTTGGGTTTAGGGTTTAGGGTTCAGGGTTCAGGGTTGAATCTACTACTAATACAACCCTCTACTCTGCCTCAGACGTCTTTGGAAGCTGCAAGAGATGCGCAAAGTCACTTGGAGGATCATGTCACTTAGTAAGTAAGGTTATAAGTACCCTAATTGGGGTTATAATTACAGTTACTTTATTTATAACCCTAGTTAGTAAGTCCCATGATCCTCCAAGCAAGTGCTGTCAGCCAAGGTAGCTTACATGGTCTGCCCGATGTCCTTCCAGAGCTCTTCGTTTAGAGCTGCAGCGAAATGATCAGAGGGTTTAGGGTTTAGGGTTTAGGGTTTAAAAGGACTCGCAATTGGGGCTATAAGTGTACCTTAGTCCGAATTACAGGCACTTCTACACAGGGCCTAGATCCCAATGCAAGCCCCGGCGCCCGAAATGGGAAGTGTTAACCCCACGGTCGACCGGCCCACTCCTCCTCTCATCCTTTGCATCCTTAAATCCTCAAGGTTTACGATTTCGAGACCCTCCCATCCTCCCGAAACCCTAAACCCTAAACCCTAAACCCTAAACCCTAAACCCTAAACCCTAAACCCTAAACCCTGGCCCGAACATCCCGACAAGTCCTGAGTTCCGCGACCCTGAGCCTCAAACGTTAGTTGGGGATTTTGCGACCGGTTGAGGTGGAGGGTTCAGGGTTCAGGGTTCAGGGTAGTTGGGTTTAGGGTTTAGGGTTTAGGGTTCAGGGTAGTAGGGTGCAGCGTGCAGAGGTTGAAAGCACTTTCGGCGCGGACTTCGGGTTGCAGTTTGAGAGGGATTCAGAGGTGAGCCAAGCCTAAGCCAAGTCCCCCGCCAGCACTCCAGTCCTTGCAGCCTAAACACTGTTGCTGCTGCTACTACTATATACTACTACTCTTCAAGTCAATCGCAAGCTGCTAGAGATTCTTAAAAACCATTCCAGAAATCGTTCCAGAGGACCTAAACCCCAAACCTTAAGCCCAACTTAGCCCTAAACCTTAAGCTTCCCAAGTTCCTCGTGTCATAGTCGGGCGTATTGTAAATTCGGACTGCCAGGGGTTTCGGGGTTGATGGGTTTAGGATTGCCAGGTTACCTGGAGGATCATGGGACTTAGTAACTAGGGTTATACATAAGGTAACTACAATTATAACCCCAATTAGGGTACTTATAACTCTTACGAAGTCCCATGATCCTCCAAGTATCAAGACTTAAAGCACACCCCGAGAGTATCCTCATTCAGAGCAGCACCCCAAGGGGTCCTCAATGCCAAGGCCCCTGTTGCCAGTCCCTAAACCCTAAATGCCCTAAACCCTAAGCCCTAAACCCTGAACCCTAAACCCTAGACCCTAAGCCCTGAACCCTAAACCTTAAGCCCAAAGCCCTAAAGCCCTAAACCATGGCTCGAAACATTCAATCACCAGCCAGTTCATCGAAAGCTTGACATCCCGAACCCTTCCAAACCCTACACCCTAAACCGTAAATCCTAAAGCCTTGACCCTGAGCCTTAAATCCTAAAGCCTTGAGCCTAAAACCTTAAATCCTAAATCCTTGAGCCTAAAACCTTGAATCCTAAATCCTTAACCCTAAACCCTAAACCCTAGACCCTAAACCCTAAACCCTAAATCTTAAGTCCTA